CACATATATATATACATACATCTCTATACATATATATGTATATATATATATATATATATATATATATATATATATATATATATATATATATATATATGTATATACATATATGTATATATATGCATATACATAAAAAGAAACTAGCATTAACTACGAAAGAAGAGGAAGAAGAAAAAAAAAATGAAACGAACAAATTAATATCCGACTTTGTACCTATATACTTAATAATTAACGTAAAAAACGAAAACGAAAAGATGGGCGAGAGGCGAGAAAGAGAGCGAACGAACGAGCGAGCGAGAGAAAGAGAGAAAGATAGTGCGCGAGGGAGAGAAATATAATACTTTCGGGAATACATCCGCAAAGTAGCAGCGAATCGCGAGGGGTGGGGTTCGAGGAGGCGGGGGAGTTAGCTAGAAGAAGCGCGGTATAATCGAATCGGGTTGGATCGATTCGTGGGTCGAAATCGCGGGACGGACGGCTGAATTCGAATCAACACGGGATGCAAGGAATCTGCGAGCCAAGGGGTAACACTTTTGTCAAATTTATATAGAGAGCCAATTTAGGTTTTACGATTACCGATAAAAGGATGCGCGAGAGACTGAGTGCGAGAACGGAGAGAAAAAGAGAGAGAGAGGGAGAGAGAGAGAGAGACGGAGGGAGACACGTGGAAGGACACTGTCAACGATTTCTTTACAATGAAACTCATTAATCACACCGTAGAAGCGATCCAACGTAGCGCTGGTGTCCTGCGGAGCTGTGTCCACGTCCGTTGTCGCGCCTCGTTCCGTTGCCACGTTTTCTTAACGAATCTAGACGTAATGTTACTAATTATACACTTTTCGGTTCTTGGGAAAATGGTGAAACGTTAGATCGATGACAGATTGAATTCGATGAAAAATCGTAGCCCCGAATCGAACCTCGTTGCAACCTCGACGAGATCAACGGCAACGAGATCCGGAAGAAATATGGCCACAGCTTGATCTTGCGGTCGATCGCGATCGATGTTCAGGTTTCGATCTGTCTGACGGGGGCTGTCCTTCGGAGAATTCGGGCAAAGTTCGTTGTCGCGGAGGTTCGCTTTGAAGCCCGGAAGTCTCGAATTTTGACAAGGATTCGCCGAGATCGAGTGGTGAAAGTGGAGATCGAGCGGCGCGATCGACGCGGAGGATCGATCGCAAGATGGCGCAGGACACCGGGAGTTTCACGGTACACCGGGGGTGAAGATGAATTGTTCGGGACGCGGTTCGCCAGTAGCTTATTAGCGGCCAGCGGCGGTAAATTGTCCGGTTTTTCATTTTGCCGATAGAATGAAAGAAAGAGAGAGAGAGTAAGAGAGAAAGAAATAGTATGAGAGGAGAGAGAAAGAGAAAGAAAGGCTGGAGAGCGTGGCCGGGAGAGAGACCGCGTCCTTCTTACGTCGAACGGGGCAACGGATAGAAACAAAACGAGAGAGAGAGAGAGAGAGAGAGAGAGAACGAGAGGAGAGAAAGGGAGAGAGAGAATGAGAGAGAAGGGGCGACGAAATACAATGGCGAAAAAGAATTTAAAAAAAACAGTACGATTAGACGACGTTCCGTGGGTGTGCAAGAGAACTCGGCCGCGGACTCCGTCGACGATTTCTCTTGTTTCGTCGCGTTTGTCCGTTTGCACGTTCTTTTCCTTCTGTTCTCCACTGAATTTTTCATTTGTACAGAGTTTGGGTTTTCTCCCGTTTACCGTATCGAGGGCTGGTAACGTGGTCCAGGATCGGCGCCGCGAGGCTTCTGTGAAACCTCGCCGCGAAAAAATCGTGTTTGCGAGTAAGGCGAATATGATTGTGTCTCGATGGGACTTGTGTTTCCGCGCCGGTGTTCGCGGGTCGAGGAGTTCACGGCGGGATCTGCACGGAACGATTAATATAAAAAATAAAAAAAAAAGCGTTAGTGACTGTATCCAGTATAATATATCTGATAAAAGATACCCCCGATGCCAGACATGGCGTGTGACAATAAAGTGATTCAATGATCTCGTCGCATTTCAATCGCAGCCACCTTTCACGACACGCAGGATCTCTACACACGACGACACGCGACACACTGTTCCATGTGTGCACAAGTACGTATTTATTATGAGGACGTGTGCATACGTACACACGAACGAACACCCCACACACCCATACACACACACACACACACACAAATACATGATACATTCATACACTACAGGGTGAGAGAGGGAGGGAGAGAAAGAGCGAGCGAGCGAGAGAAAGGAAGAGCGAGAGAGAGGGAGAGAGAGAGAGAGACACACACGTGTACACAGAACGTTTATATTTTAAAGCGAAACGGAGGTTTTTTTTGTAAATGAAACTGATAGAGGAACGACGTAACACCGCCGGTATTCAATCGATCACGATGCGTAAAAGAAAGTATTTCCATACGTTTTCCGATCGCTCGTTAATCCGCTGTTAATTGATAATGTCAGTAATATTTTTAACAAAATAAAGCAACCTTATTCAAAGCTGAGAGATTACGTCTTTTTGAGAACATCCATGCTGTAGAAGTATAGTAATGTGTAAGGATGATATAGTCGAATAAAATTGAAATCTCGTGG